CGGCTCTCTACAATCATGCACCTGTATGCAGAACAGGTGGTAGGAGGAGAGCCAGAGCCACAGACCCAAAGATTGTGGGTCAGTAAGGTTTTCCCACTCTGACAAAGTGTTGGTTACTTCCCATAGCCTGGCTAATAAACCTTGTATTTACACAGCCCTTTCATTTTTATGGTCTCATTTGATCTCTCTAATATCCTTAGGAATAGGCTAGGTAGGGATCATGACCTCCATTCAATGTGGCTTGTTTTTAGGGACATATGGCTGGACAATGGCAGTGAGAGAATAAACCACTGATCAACGTGACAGAAATTCTGTCCTTTTCTCCAAGTAAATTGTTCTGGAAAATACTATCTACTGATGGACAATGACTCTAGTTCCAACCTGTGTCTTCCCAGAGAATACCATAGCTCAGGAAAGGGCTCCTCGCCCGCCACAGGGTTTAGAGGAAGGAATTTCTGGTGGGAGGAACTCAAGGCCGGTTATCTACCATAATTTCAAGGGCTAGAGAAGTCTACTGCTCATAAAATGCTTTCCTCATTTGCTCCCTTTTCTATAACCTACAAACTTTGATATTTGAGTAAAATGGTTTTCTGGAATGGATGGAAGCATTTGGAGGGTTAATTTCAATTCAGCACAGCTTGTTCATTTAGAACTACTGGCATAATTAAGTATATTTTTAAAAGTTGTTTAGACCTCTAAACCAACAAATAATTCATATCCAGAATATTTAAAGAATTCCTAAAATGGATAAGAAAAAAAAAAAACACCAAGTTAAAGAAATGAGAAAGACATCAATAGGCCTTTCACAAAGGTTCACACAAGAATGGCCAATATTCATGTGAAAAGATACTCAGCTTCATTATTTGTCAAGAAAATTCAATATAAAACAACATGGAATACCATTTCATACCCATCAAATTAGCAAGCATTTAAAAGTCTGACCATATTCAGTAAGGAATCAGGGAGCTTATACACAGTTGGCAGAAACTGAATTCGCACAAATATACAAAGGTCAACTTGGCAATAGCTCTCAAAATCAAAAAAATATATATACAGTTTGATGCAGTAATTGTCCCTTTAGATAGTTATGCTAAACTTTTAGTGACAAATGTTCAGAGTGTAAATTTCAGAGTCATTCTCTTTGGAAATATATAAAAATGGAAGGAATCTTTCATTCCAGACATATTTATTGAATGTCTGCTATGTTCAGGACACAGTATTAGGATGAAAAGATGACAGGAATCCTTAGAAGCTATGTTCCTTCACCCCTGCAGCCTCCTGATGAAAAAGAAGAAGGTGGCAGAAAGAAGGACCTTCTGGTTGACGCAGAAGGGTTAACTACCCCAAAAAAGCCTCCAGCTGTGGTTGCTTCCTAGCGTGCACTGAACTTTTAACCATATTTTGAGTGTGATCATATGGTTGACAATCTAGATTAAGCATTAATCTAGACTAACAGCAGTCTGGACTATTATGAAACTCTACACTATTATTAGTCTATACTAACAATAGTATACGAATAGTAGTCTAGATTTTCAGCCATATTAATATTATGGTTTTCTAATAATTTCTAGACTTTTCTAGGTTTTCTAGACTATTTTCTAAGAATACTCTACATTTTCAACCATATTAATATTAGGTTTTGTTTTATTAATATGAATACATATAATAGTAAACCTAATATTAATAAAAATAACCAGCCCTTTGTGAACCTCTATGTACCAGAAGTGCACTTAATCATCACAGTTACATGACATAGGAATTGTCATCCTCATTCTTCAGATAATATATAACTCCATTTTTGAAAGACTAAGGACATTGTCTAATATCACACAGCTTATTAATGTGCCATTTATGAGTGGCAGATTCAAATAATAGCCTGTCTGACATCAAAGCATATGATTCTAGATGCCCAAAGTGATGTTAACATCATCATAAGAAATTCAGGTTAACTTTAAAAAATCAAATAAAATTGAAATATAGATTTATTGTATAATATTTATTCATTTTACTTCCCTCTTCTATGAGTATAGCTATTGAAACATGTTTTTTCATGTATGGAGGGAGATGTGGCAGAAAGGATGTTGTATAGACAGGCCTGAATCTGCCACTCACCAGTCACATGACCTCCAGCATATCACTTGGTGTCTCTTGCTTCACCTTCCTTTATATATAAAATGGGGGAAATACATAACATCTGCCCTCTCTCCTTCCAGGGGTATTGTCAAGATCTAAACAAAAGCCTGTAGTTGAACTATTCTTTAAGATGTCAAGTATCATGTAACATTAGATATTAGAATGGCTTTATACCCAGGGCTTATGAGGAAAGGGGAAGATAGATAGTAGAGGAATGTAGTGAGCAGCCAAGATCCTATCTAAGAAGAGACGTGTGGGATGGCAATGAGCCCTGGGAAGCTGTGAGTAAACGCTAGGTCAGGAACACAGAAGCAGAGATGGTTTTTTAGGCACTACAGATCTGGTTTTAAAAATTATAAAACTAATGCAGGAACAGAAAACCAAACACCAGTTGTTCTCACTTATAAGTGGGAGCTGAACAATGAGAACACATGGACACAGGGAGGGGACCAACACACACTAGGGCCCGTGGTGATGAGGGCAGGGGAGGGAGAGCATCAGGAAGAATAGCTAATGCATGCGGGGCTTAATACCTAAGTGAAGGGTTGATAGGTGCAGCAAACCACCTTGGCACACCTTTACCTATGTAACAAACCTGAACATCCTGTATGTGTATCCCAGAACAAATATTTTAAAAATTAAAATAAAAATTATAAGACTAGAACACTTATTCTAACCCAAGTTACTACAGTGGCAATATTCATTTATTCCTCTTTTGTAAGCATTCACACAACATCTGGAATAACACTATGCATGCAATTATCACTCAAGGGATACTTGTTGCAATCATCGATTTCATTTAAGCTCATGATAAGAAGTGGTCAGCCTTCCGCCCTATTTAGTTTCAGCAATAGTTCTTTTTGTTTGTTTGTTTGAGACAGAATCTCACTCTGTGACCCAGGCTGGAGTGCAGTGGTGCAATCTCAGCTCACTGCAGCCTCTGCCTCTTGGGTTCAAGCGATTTTCCTGCCTCAGCCTCCCAGGTAGCTGAGACTACAGGTGTACGCCACCACACCCAGCTAATTTTTGTATTTTTAATAGAGACGGGGTTTCACCACCGTGGCCAGGCTGGTCTCGAACTCCTGACCTTAAGTGATCTGTCCGCCTCGCCTCCCAAAGTGCTGGGATTACAGGATTGAGCCCCCGCACCCGGCCTCAGCAATAGTTCTTGATGACAGTACGGAACGAATTTTATTGGTGCACTGACTTAAAAAAAGTAGGAACACATACTTGGAAGCCGGCAAGATGACAATGACAAGCTGCAGAGTCTCCCTAACAACCACCAATAGAAAAGCTTGTTTTTAATGCAATAAATAAATATTTGAAAGATAATTATTGCTGGTCATTTTCAAATTTATTTTTATAATGCTTACTAGGTACTAACACTTTGTAACTACTAACTCGTTTAATTCATTAATTTATTTAATCCTCAAAACACCAGGAGTGGGTGAGGGGACTATATCGATGGCAGGGTCCTGGTGCAGTCTGGCTCTGCCCTGCATCTGGTCGGCCATTTTAGAAATAAGGCATGTCAACCCCTCAGAGGAAGGATCCTCAGACGATGGAAACAGACAAAAAGGACAAGACAAGACACATTTATAAGCAGTATCTACACAGTACCAAGCCCTGCACTTAGCCTGGTGGGGGATGCAAAGATGAAATGGATGAGAATGTGGAATCTTTAATACCAGATGAACAGTGACAAACGCTCTACAGGTGACGAAATGCTAAAGGAGGGGTTACAGGTGGCAGGAACCCCAAAGATTTCAGGGAAGAGACTGCATTTGTGCTAGTCTTGGCAGGAGGGTAGGAATCCCGCAGGCTGAGATGCGGGCATGGACACTGCAAACAGAGAAAAGCCGGGAACCAGCAGATCAGGTCACTTCCCTGCTTAGCACACTTCAGTGTTTTTTCCCAGCTCATGTTGAATAAAATCTGAACTCCTCCTCATGTTCTGCCCAGACCTCATCCGGGCCCTGCATCCCTCACTTTCCCCTTGCTCAGTTCAGGCACTCTGGGAACCTTTTCACTTGCTATTCTCTATTACTCGGCTCCACGCTGGAGTAACTCCTCGTAAGTCCTCGGGTCTCCGCTAACTTGCAGCGCCTCGGAGAGGCCTTCCCAGTCCGCCTGCCACGGAAACTCGGGCCCCCTTACTTTTTTCCTCTCTCAGCAGACTATCTGATTCCCTCCAAGCACACATAGCAATGTGTACCGGGCTTTCTCTGTTTTGCGTGTGTAATGTCTGTCTTCCTCTCTCGGAGCAGTTCCACAAGCCCTTGCCCATCGTGTTCTCCTCCGATCAAGGCAGATGGAGGGGCTCGATAAAAATTGTGGAATGAATGAATGGAGTGAGTCAGTGATTGGCTGTGAGTTGAGGCCCTGGCGAGGACAGGGCTGAGTGTGCTAGGAAATAGTTTATTGCGGCGAGATCTTCGAGATCACCGCAGGCAGGTAGAAAGGAGGTGGGTACAGGGCAGGAGGACCTTAAAGGGACCCTCGGGTTCGGATTCATTCCCCCAAAGGGCACTGCATTGCAGGCGCCAGGCCAGGTGCGGGGCGGGGACAAGCTAACCTCAGTGAAGCTGTGTCGCCGCGCCACCGTGGCTTCCCTGTGTCCAGAGCCAAAGCAACGAGCTGGGGCTACGGGAAAGGAGACTGTGCCGAGACAAAACCCTGCGCTTCCCCAGTGGTGCGCTTCCCCAGCGGTCCCCGTCCCCGCGGCCAAGGGTCGGGTTCGGGGGTCGCCTAGGCATCCAGGCTCCCGGGGCCGAGAACGCGGCCCGAGAGACCGCTGGGGACCGCCCCGCCGCCGCGACGCCCCTGCCTCAGGGTAACAGCTCCCGACCGGCCGCGCCCACACTCACCCTGCCCCGCCTGGCGAGCTGAGCGCGGCCTCCACAGCCGCCGGGTCGCCTTCCACGGCCGCCGCAAGGAAAACAGCTTCCGGCTCTTCTGGCCTCCCTTCTCAGTGGCGCCCATCGGTGCGCCGCGCCCTCCCCCGCCGCCGCCGCCCGAGCCGAGCGCCACCGCTCGCCGCCGCCGCCGCGCGTCTGCCAGGTGCCGGGCCGCTGCCGGGAGACGCGCGCCGGGGGCGGAGCTTAGGGCCTGGAGCCGTGGCTGGCGCGGACCCGGGAGGCGTCCCCGCCCGGCCCACACGGCGGCGCCTGGCGCCCGAGGCGTGGGGGTGAGCGCGGGCCCGCGCCCCTCACTCGGGAGGCACAGTTAGCACCCTTAATTAATACAGAAGTCCTGGGGGGCGCTCACCCATTTTATCTCCCAGTTACAAACCATACACTCCACGCTCCCAGAGGGTAAGGCATCTGCCCACAATCACACAGCGCTAAAGAAATTCCAGAGCCCTAGGCTCTGACGATGTTTACTCACACCGTGCTACCGCCTCAGAATGAAACAACATCACGTTAGAAAGTGGTTTTAATTCTGACTGATATTCCTGTTTTCCTAATACAAGGGATTACTAGTCACCCATGATTTTTTGAGAACCTGTTCCATGTCCAGCTACTTTTACACACATTTCATGAAACCTCATTGCAACCCCATGGTGTGGGAGGCGTTTCCCATTTTCCAGATGAGGAAACTGAAATGGCAGAACTGAAGCTCCCTCACCCCATCCCCATGCCACCACTGGTCTCTGTTGAGATTTTGCTTGGAATTGCGAGAGACTGAGAGGAAGATCAAAACCAACGCCCTTGAACACGACCTGGCTGCAATAATAATAGCTAATATTTATGGAATGCTTTTTATGTGGCAGATTTTACATACTGCTCAGGCTGGAGTGCAATGATCATCTCAGCTCACCACAACCTCTGCCTCCCGGGTTCAAATGATTCTCCTGCCTCAGCTTCCCGAATAATACTCGGGGGGCAGAAACAATCTCCAAACTCAACAGATGGGGAAGCTGAGCATCAGAGAGTACAGGTTAGATATCTAAAACCTCAATCAAGGTTTTACGTTAGGTCAAATTATGAAATTGCCATTTTTGTAGGCCCAAACAATATCAGACAAGAGCTTCTATAGGTGACCAAAATTAAAATCACTGGTGGAGATCGGGCACGGTGGCTCACACCTGTAATCCCAGCACTTCGGGCAGCCAAGGCAGTCAGATCACTTGAGCCCAGGAGTTCAAGAGCAGCCTTCGCAGCAAAGCAAAAACCTGTCTCTACCAAAAATGCATACACACACACACACACACACACACACAAATTAGCCAGGTATGGTGGAACACACCTGCAGTCCCAGCTACTCAGGAGGCTGAGGTGGGAGAATCACCTGTGCCCAGCGAGGTAGAGGCTGCAGTGAGCCGAGATGGTGCCACTATACTCCAGCCTGGCTGACAGAGTCACATTCTGTGGAAAAAAAAAAAAAAATCACCAGTGGAGATAGGTGAAAATCGAATGCCTGCTGATGTGATATGCTGAGAAAGACACATCACTTATGGAGTCTTCTGGCCAAACATGCACAGCGTGAAGCTAATCATGGGGAAACATCAGATAAACCCAAAACAAGGAATCCACTATTAAAAGGGTCAGAGAAGTGCTGTATTCCTCAAAAGTATCAATGTCATAAAATAAGAAGAAAAGCTATGGAGATGTTCTAGATTCGAGGTGACTTGGCTGGGCACAGTGGTTCACGCCTATAATCCCAGTACTTTGGGAGGCCGAGGCAGATGAATCACCTGAGGTCAGAGGTTTGAGACCAGCCTGGCCAACATGGCGAAACCCCGTCTCTACTAAAATTACAAAAATTAGCTGGGCACGGTGGCGTGCACCTGTAATCCCAGCTACTTGGGAGGCTGAGGCAGCAGAATCACTTGAACCTGGGAGGCGGAGGTTGCAGTGAGCCAAGATTGCGCCATTGCACTCCAGCCTGGGAGACAGAGCAAGAATCCATCTCAAAAAAAAAAAAAAGGTGACCAAAGAGACATTGCAGCTAAATGCAATACCTGACTCTAGACTGGACCCTGTTTTGTAGTCTTTTGTATTTTGTTTTTTAAGGCTGTAAAGCATATTACTGAGTTAATTTTACAAAAAAAAAAAAATTAAATATAGGTAGCAGATTACAGAAAAATGCTTATCAATAAAAAACTTGCTGACATTGATAACTACACTGTGATTATGTAAGGAAATACCCCTATTTTAAGAAAATACACACTGAAACCCCACACAGTGGCTTCGCCTGTAATCCCAGCACTTTGGGAGGCTGAGGTGGACAGGTGGCTTGAGCTCAGGAGTTCAAGACCAGCCTGGGCAATGTGGTGAAACCTTTTGTCTCTCTTATTAAAAATTGAAAAATATGAAAAAAAATTGAAAGAAAATGCACATGAAAGCATTTAGGAATAAAGAGTCATGATGCATTTAACATGCCTTCAAGTGATTGGGTGGCGGCGGGGAGAAAAAGTGTTTGTGTACATAAAATAAAATGGGAGGAATCACTCCACCCAAATTTGAAGCCTACTATAAAGGTACAGTTTCAAAAACAGTGCGGTGTTGGCAGAAAAATAGACACATACATCAACGGAACAGACTAAAGACCCAGAAATAGAATAGACACACATAAATCTGTCCAACTAATTTTTGACAAAGGATCAAAAACAATTCAGTGGAAGAAATGTGTTTTTCAACAAATGATGCTGGAGCAATTGGATATCTGTAGGGAAAAAAAAGGAGAGAGAAGATCCAGGACCCAAACTTCATACCTTATACAAAAATCAAGTCAAAATGGATTCTAGACTTAAATGTAAAACTATAAAACTTAGAAAGAAATAGGAGAAAATTTTCTAGTACCCAGAGCTATACAGAGAGTTCTTTGGCTTGTTACCAAAAGCACAATAAGTGGAAAAATTGTTAAGTTGGACCTTATCAAGATTATTTTTGCTCTGTGAAAGACCCTGTTAAGAAGATGAAAAGACATACTACCAACTGGGGAAAATACTTGAAACCACATAGCCAACAAAGGAGTATTTAGAATATGTAAAGAATTCTCAAAACTCAGCATTAAAAAACAAACAAACTGGAGGGTGCAGTGGCTCACACCTGTAATCTCAGTACTTTGGGAGGCCGAGGCAGGTGGATCACTTGAGGTCAGGAGTTCAAGACCAGGCTGACCAACATGGTGAAACCCTGTCTCTACTAAAAATACAACATTAGTCAGGCATGGTGGCGCATGCCTGTAATCCCAGGTACTTGGGAGGCTGAGGCAGGAGAAGTGTTTGAACCCAGGAGTGGAGGTTGCAGTGAGCCAAGGTCACGCCATTGCACTCCAACATAGGCAATATAGTGAGACTCTGTCACAAAAAAAAAAAAAAAAAATTAAAATGTGCAAAAGACATGAACACGTATTTCCCTGAAGCAGAAATATAGATAACAAATAAGTATATGAAAAGAAATTCAACATTATTAACCATTAGGGAAATACAAATTAAAACCACAATAAGACATCACTACACACCTAAAAGAATAAGGATGTAGCAGAGAAACTGAATCACTCCTACATCACTGGCAGGAATGTAAACTGGTACAGACACCCTGGAAGAGTTTAGCAGTTTCTTAGAAAACTAAACACACAACTACCATACAATCCGGCAATTGCGCTCTTGGGTATTTATCCCAGAAAAAATGAAAACGCACAAAAACCTATAAAAGGAATGTTCAGTAGCTTTACTTTGTAACAGCCTAAAACTGGAAACAACCCAGGCATCTTTTAATGGGTCAATGGTAAAACAAGCTGTGGTACATGCATACCATGGAATACTAGTGAGCAATAAAAAGTAACAAACTATTGACACATATAACAATCTTAGTGAATCTCCAAGGAATTACGATAAGTATAAAAAGCTAATCCCAATACTATACATTTTCATTTATATAATTTTTTAAATGGTAAAATTATACAAATGGAGGACAAAATAGTAGCTTCCAGGGAGGAGCAGGATGCATGTAGCCATGGAAGGGATTCTGTAGTGATGAAACTGTTCTGTGTGTATCTTTACTGTATCAGTATCAACTTATTGGTTACTATATTAGATTATAGTTTTGCACAATGTTACTATTAGGAGAAAATGGGTAAAAGAGTACATGGGTCTTTCGGTATTATTCCTTACAACTACATATCAATTTACAATTATCTCAAAACAAAGCATTTTAGTTTTTTTAGGTTGCATATCAACAATTTCATATAGTTCAATTCAATACTTAAAATTCAGCTGAGTCGGCCGGGCATGGTGGCTCACGCCTGTAATCCTAGCACTTTGGGAGGCTCAGGCGGGCGTATCACAAGGTCAGGAGATGGAGGATATCCTGGCCAACATGGTGAAACCCCAGTGGCATGCATCTATACTCCTGGCTACTTGGGAGGATTGCTTGAGCCTGGGAGGTTGAGGCTGCTGGGAGCCATGATCATGCCACTGCACTCCAGCCTGGGAGTTTTTGATACAGGCAGACTGGTTCTTCAAAAAAAAAAAAAAAAAACATGAGAGGAGAAACAGAAGAGAGAGAAAAAAATTGGGAAAACCCCATTTTGTTCTTTCTGTAATTCAGAAAAATAGGAAGTTGGCCCAATGTGGTGGTGACACCTGTAATCCCAGCACTTTGGAGCCAAGGGCGGCAGATTGCCTGAGGGTCAGGTTTGAGACCCAGCCTGGTCAGCATGGTGAAACCCATCTCTACTTAAAAAAAAAAAAAAAATTAGCCGGCCATGGTGGCACGCATCTGTAGTCCTGGCTACTTGGATAGCTGAGACAGGAGAATTACTTGATCCTGGAGGTGAAGGTTGCAGTGAGCCCAGATTGCACCAGTGCACTCCAGCCTGGGTGACAGAGCAAGATTCTGTCTCAAAAAAAAAAAAGAAGAGAATAGGAAGCTCTAAATGTGAAATGAAGAAGGAAACTGGAAGAAAGTAGAAACTGAGAGATGTTCTCTCTCTATCAGCAATAAGCTGCTTTTTCTACAGCAGCTCTCATTCTCCTTGGCATCCGGACTGAAGAAATAGGCCTTAGGAAGGGAAGTGATGTTGCCTGGGCAGGTGGACTCATACCTGTAATCCCAACACTTTAGGTGGCTAAGGGCAGGTGGTCACTTGAGTCAGGGTTCAAGACCAGCCTGCCAAAATAGTGAAACCTCTTTTCTTATTAATAATACAAAAATAAGCCAGGCGTGTGGTACGCACCTGTAATCCCAGTTACTCAGGAGGCTG